GGGAGGCGGAGCTTGCAGTGAGCTGAGATCCGGCCACTGCACTCCAGCCTGGGCGACAGAGCGAGACTCCGTCTCAAAAAAAAAAAAAAAAAAAAGAAAAGCAAGAACAACCCAAAGTCTTTACTGTGCATGGGAAGGTACATATATATTATAATGAATATTTCTATATGTAACCTCTATTTCATGTATGCGGATGCATAATTTGTGGTTTGTTTTCTCAATATTTAAAGTGGGCAGAGCTCCTTTCTGGATGTAGGTAAAACTTACATGTTCTAAATATCATAATTTTATTCTCCACTACTTTTAATTTCTTCAGTTTTTTCCTATAGCTAAACAAAAGACAAAATTTGCTTGTATTCATCTTCTTTATTAACTAAACACACCTATTGTAAATGGAATTGGCACTTTCAATCACCCTCATTGTATTTACTAGGATGAGATTAATAACCCAAAGATTCAGTGTTTTCCCATACTAGGTTCAGTTTCACATTTGAGCTTATTTGGACAAATAGTACTTCCCTGCACACTGAAAGGATCTATAAAATATTGCTCCTTGATCTCCACATAAGAAGCGATTTGTTGGACTCCAGGGTTGGAGGGCAATACTTCAGGGTTGATGCTTGGGAATGTGTAAATCTTGCCTATGGATTTAGATGTCTGTTCAACAAGATTGCACCACAAAAACCTCACACCTTCATTATGTTTCACATGTTACATTGCACTGACAAGTTTAACTGCATCCACGACTGGGCCAGGTGGTGTTTAAATTCTCAAATACCTTAACATTTGAATGCCTCAGGCAAGAAAAACTGACTATTCAGAAGGCACAAGCTGTAATATTTCAGGCAAGTCAAAATCAGAAGTGAAGGCTTTTGGCCATAGATTTTACTAGTGCATTTATATTAACCTTTATGCATTTCCATAAGGCTTAAAAACCATTGCTTAGGCAGTATTTGTCTGTGGGTCTTCATTAAAGTAATGATATTATTTAATCTACTTGGAAAAATCCCTTCAGGATCCCAGCTGTCCCCCTCCATTCCTTTTAAAAGCACTTTCTCTTCTGCCTAAAAATTCAAGTACTCTCTTAACTAAGTGCGGACTGAAACATTTCACTATAGATTTGAACAGGAGCCAACACTGATGATGAAAAGAAAACTTCTCCCTGTAAAAGGTTTATTGTCAGTACTTTCTAAAGACGAAGATGCTTCTGAAACAGGCTACCAACATTTTCACAAACCTTGACACAACCTTCTCAACCTCTCTTAGACCTATGATTTGGGACCCTTTCTTTCAGGAATGCTGTGGACCTTTGACCTTCTGAATAGCCAACTCTACATAACTGCTCCTTCCCCCATCAATATAACTTATATTATAAAAAGGAACGGGGGATGGGGTAGCTTGGCCCTCACGCTATTGGAAAAGTACTTGAAATTCCTTGCATTCCTTTGCATTTAACAGCATGTTTACCTAATCACCGGCTTATTAGGATTAACACAAGTCATGCTTCAAGCTCATTTAGTGAAAACAAACTGACCCCTATAGACTCAGATTTTTCCTGATAACAGCCAAGGGTAAATTTCTAAGTAGTTCTCCTAATTTTTAGGAAAGATATTGGGAAAATATAAAGCTACAAACAAGCAAGTCTTTAGAATACATTAATTATATTCAATCTTGCCCATGGATCTGGATGTGGGCTGCCTGAGTTATGGACTACCCCTTTTCATTAAAGGGTTTCTCTACTAAAGTGACATGCCCACTAACCTGGTGATGAAAATAATAAATTATTATGGCCATCGCGCAGAGTGATGGAGACCCTTAGGCTTTACATTCTGATGAAAATACAGCGCTGTTTTCTTAAATTACAAATTTAGCTTCAGAATCTTTCTTGTGCTTCATACAAGGTCATGTTCAATACATGTTTTTTAAACATTATATGCAAAGACTTTACTGAAGATATAAAAGCAATCATTATCTTATTTTAATAGCTTAATTCACTGCTGTATCCCTATAAGTCCTGTTTGAATAATTGAGTACTTGAGCTAGGTTGTTCCCAGTGACTTTGGAGCACCTCTAAAAATACTGAATGGCATACACTCAGATATTAGGTAAATATTTCTTTATTAAATGGTTAATTTCATAAATAAAATCTTTTCACTGAATATAAAATTAAACTCATTTACAAATTATTCCAGTATTACATTTCCCCTCCCTCCCAAAAGCTACATTTTGATAAATAAAAACATTCAGTCTTAAAACACCTGATTTCTGTTTGCAGTTTAGAGTGCAGATAGCTGCCTCTCACAGACACTCATGGAGTGTCCCCCTTCAGGAAGGAATGGAATGCCCTCCCATTTACTTTTGTCAAAGGACGAATAAAAGCTTTAAACTGTCCAACTAATCTTATTATCTCTTTTACGACTGTAGAACCCCAAAAGGAAAAAAGCCTAGAGAAAATATGCTTAGCAAATAATTTACAAACAGAAAACAGAAAGTCATCAACACCACAAGCTCCAAAATGAAGCAGTAACATGTGCTCCAATACTATGAAGCAAAGTATTCTCCAATCGTGGCTGCATTAGTGTCCATCTGCACCAGCACCCTTGGCAGTTTCGAAATACCTTAATGCTCCTCAAGAATGAGCAAAGAATCCCTTCTACAATGAGTCCCATCACCCACACCGCCCCCACCCATTTTCTCCATGATTCTGATTCTGACACTCTTCTCCCTTGTTTGTCTAGGTGTGCCCTGGAAACCCAGGTAGCATTTAGTCCCTAAATTTGTGAATGTCATTGAACAGCCTGTAGAAGGGAAATGCTGCTTCATTGGCATGCGGGCAGTTGTAGTTGCATTTGCAGGACTGGATCATCATGACGTTCTTGGAAAATGTCTCCCCATCTTCGCAGCGGAACCGCATCTTCACAGTCCTGGTCAGCTGGGGCGTGCAGCATCGGCCGTCCACGCAGGAACCGCAGTACTTCGGCCGGTATTTCTTCACACTCGAACATCCAGCGTAAGTAAACCTAACTGGTTCGGGGGATTTCTTGGTCTTGCTGCATTTCTTGCCCTTCTGTAAGAGACAGGAGAGAAGAAAAGTTAGGGGTGATATTTCTCTTTCTTCAAAAAGAGATTCACATCCCACCCCCCTGCCAGGCAACAGTCTACACATCCCTGAAGGCACTTACTTTCAGGCTGCTGTACACTGGCTGTCCACAAGGCCGCACCTCACAAATCCGAGTTTCTTTCACAAGGCGGCACTCGGGGTTGTCATTGGTAACTCGTGTGGAGATACCAGTTCCACAGGTCTTTGAGCACTGGGACCATGAAGTTGTTTGAACAATACATTTCTGGCCATGTAAAGGGTTGTATAGGATGCGAGGCTCCATTCCAAAAACTGGAGAGAGAAATAAGAGGGAAGACTTCTCAGAGGCATAGCCACACAAACAGGCTCAAGTACTCATTTCTACAAAGCTTCAGACCAAAAATGCATCTCAGTACAGTGTCTGAAGGGCTCAGTCTCCACTTACCAGGGAGCCGCTTCAGTGAGCTGCCTTTTCCAACTGCAATCAATTCATTGTTTCTCGTCAACTCCACCTCGGAGGCATCGAATCCCAGCTCCTTGCCAAGGAGGCCGTCCTGGTCGTCCATGGGGTCCTTGACACTATCCTCGTCACAGACCCACTCCTCGCAGCACTGTCCGGTAACTTTGACCAGCCGGGGGTTGGGACAGCCCAAGTTGGGGAGAGACAGTTCTTGGGGACACAGAGGAATGCAGCCCACGGCGCCATCAATACATGTGCACTGATGTTTACAGTTGGGCTGGAAACTTTCCCCGTTTTGGTAGATTCTGGAGTTATATTCACAGGGTCTGCCCTCTGACTGAGCTGCAAAGATCACCAAAAGAGAAAGGTAGAAGGGGATAAAGTTAAGATTCCAAACCACCGCCTGAAACTCATACATATTTTCTGCTGTTAAATTCAATTTATGGTAAAGTTCCCTACAATTCCCCGGAGACTCTAGACCAGAACAATAAGTTAGTCAGGAATCACTTTTCCGTATGCGCTTTCGTTGGGCCCAGACACACTGAATTGCATTCCAGACTGCTGAAATCATGTGCCTTTCTGCCAAGCTACCAACAACAAAGCATCACCATACATGGTCTCAAAATTACTAAACTTCTGGACTATGGGGACTAGTATTTTTTTTTAAAGGGGCCAAACCACAAGCATCTTACCTCTGCAGATCCCCTTCAGAGCGGTGGAGCTGGCGCCGAAGTTGCATTCCAGCCCCTTGGTGTGGTCGCAGGGCTGCGTTTTGCTGCAGTCCTCGTTGAGCTGCTTGGCGCAGACCTTACAGCAGCCGCAGCCGTCCCGGACCAGCCCAACTCCCGGCGCGCACTTGGGCGCCTCCAGGGGGCAGTGGCAGGCGGCGGGGCAGGTGGAGAGCGCCTGGAAGGGGGAGAAGAAACGCGTGAAACTCGGCGCGGTGCGCAAGAGGGGCGCCGCGGCTGCTGTAGGAAAGGACTGGGGTCTCCGACCCTATCGACAGGGAGCCTCTGACTTCGTCCAGCCGGGCCACCGCGGGAGGCTGCTCCCACCAAGAGGTCCCGACAAGTCTTTGGGGGGAGGAGGAGAGTGCTTAAAGAAACGGCTACCGCAAACGGCCGCGAACTTTTTATTTTATGTTTTCCTGCTGTGGGCAATCTGGGACCAGGGAAAGGGACTGACAGTGGACGGGGAATCGGTGGCAAAAGGAGAGTCCAACTCACCAGTCTGGTCAGGTGGAGAAGGGTGACGGCGAAGGCGAGCGCCCTGGCGATGCGGGAGCTCATTGTGGCGCGCAGGAGTAGCCCGGGGCGAGCGCGGCAACGAAGACGCCAACAAGCTGGTGCGCAGCGGCCAGGCCGTGCGCAGCGGGGTCGGGGTGGCGGCGCGGTGGACCCGGTGGGTAGGGAGGCGAGGGCTGGGCGGCGGGCGGGTGTCTTTCGCTCGAGGTCCCGGCGGAGAAGACGCGGAGGGCGCGGACGCTGCTCAGGGGCGCTCTCTCTCGCGGTCTGCCCAGGCGCCCCGGAGCCCGCCTTTTATATATGGGCCGGCGGAGGCGCCGCGTGTTGCAGTGACGTCGGCTCTGTCTGCGCGTTCCAGAATTCTCAAACATCTCAGGAATGCTAGTTGGCGCGGGCTGCTGCCAAGCGCCTCCCCTGGCTCCATTGCACCTTTGTGTGTGTGTGTGTGTGTGTGTGTGTGTGTGTGTGTGTGTGTGTGTGTGTGTGTGTGTCCCGTCAAGAAAACAGTTCGTTTTTTCCACCTTAAATTACTTCTGTTAGGAAGCGTTCTTTGGGGCGTGATGGTGGTGATGGTGGTTGGAGGGTCGCGAGGGGAGAGGGGGGCCAGTTCAGAACTTTGCCTGGACTGGGTGGGTGGGAGGACCTGAGAGGGAGGAACAAAAGTCGTTTTGTTTGGTGATTTGAGTTGACCGGGCACGGAAACCCTCACCCAGGAAGGCAGTGAGCTGTTTGCTTGTTTACAGCGAAGGTGAGAGGCAAGTTATCTGTTGAAAGAGTAGAACGTGGAAGAGGAGTGTGTCTCCGAGCCAGTAATATTTGTGGACTTCAAAGAGGCGTGTTCAGAACAAGTCCCAAAGCTTTGGCATGATGTTTATTAGCAAAATTCAGTGAATTGCAAATTAATACCCAGAGTGGCATTTATGAATGAAAAGGCGAGGGGGGTGCGGGGGGGGGGGAACTTCCCCATCGTTTGGCAAATTCCCAGGCAGAGGTCTCCCCCACTCCTCCAGCCCTCCCCTTTTTTGGATATGTTGTACTTGTTTGTTTTTGGAGGTTCCCACTTTAGTTCCAGCCCACTGCCTGGGTTGGAAGTCCGAGAGGAAACGAACGCGGGGAGTTCTCCGGGAGGCTGACTTATACTTCCTCACGGATGCAGGAGACTGGGTAAGCCCTGCCCGCCTGCTTCCGCGGGCAAGAGGCTATGCTAACCAAGCAGCCAGCCAGAAGTGCAGGGGACCACCGTGGAGTGCTTTGGCCTGAAATCATCACCTGCAAAGACTGCAAGGCCAAACCAGATTCCAGTACCATTATGCCCTATGAATCTCTGGGAAAAGCAGATTCCTTCAAGCTGGACGTTTTGTGGGGTTTTTCACTCCTTTCCTAGGGACCACTGGAAGCCTCCCATTTTAAATGAATTGCAATGCCTTTCTCTCCAAGTACAGAAAAGAGATTTAGGATGTAATATTTTGTAGTAAAAATGTCAGCAGATTTTAAGATCCTGTTCTACCTGCAATACACTCAGTAGAAGACCCCACCACAAGACAATTTACTTGAACATCACCAATACCGTTAGTGTGATTGATAAACTTTCCCTGCAAGTTTCAAAAACTTTTTGCATAATTTTAATAAAAATGATGTGAGACTCATATGCTCTAGGATAACTACTTATCCTTTTTAATGTTTAGGGCTGTTCAGACTTCATAATTTAGCAGTCTTGTTTAAAAAGGCCCTTAGTGCTAATGCTGACTTTCCTGATAAGCACAATGAGAAGCTGTCAGGATGAAAACACACTCCAGTGAAGAGAACCCTTGCAGGAAGTTCAGTTTCATTCATTCCAAAGTGCCCTTTCATAAATGGAAGCAGCATTTGCTAGAGGGAGTGGGATTTCTAAAGCTCTGATGGAGGGTTAGGGTTGGGAGACTTTTCAAGACAATGGATTGTCAGGTGTTATGCAAATACAGTGAGGAAAGTCTGGGCCCAACATGTACACAGGTTAATACATCAATTATTATTTACAAAACATTATTTTTTCTGCCTTATCATTTCATTATTGTTTCCTTCTTAATGAAGTGATTGCGGGACGGGAGGGGGAAGGAGGGGTGTAGCCACAGTACGTGTTGAACAGAGGGAGATGGGAGAGAGAGAATGGAGAGGAGGGTTCCTGGCTTCTGTTGTGGCGTCTTTTCTATTTGACTTCATGGTTGTAAGTATTTCCAGATGGTGAATCAGACACCAGACGTAACAATATTTCCATATTTGGGTATAGCAGTAGCCTGCGTTTTTAACATTTTTCTGCCTCTGTTATCCAACCACAAAGCATTCTTGACAGCTTCAAATGTTGTTAAATATAGATTTAACTTCTCTTCCCAGAGCAGGAAATTCTTTGGAATTCCTTGTTTTTCACGCAATCTGTCTATCATGATTTAAAATAAAAGCACAGTGGATCATCCAACTGGCCGTATATACCTTAATTGGAGGTTGGGGATGGGGGACGGCAGAGATCCAGTCTGCCGCACTGCGTTCAAACACAAGCCATTCCAGAGATTCCTTTAAAGTCACATTAAAATTTTCTAACAAGGGTGTGTGGGTTTGTTTCTGGACTTCAACTGGGGAATCTTGAGGATGAGTTTGCCCCAGAGGAGAAATTTAGAGAACCTTACTGTCAGCTGCCCATTTAAAGCGGGGGTGTGTTGTGCGATGGGGGTGGGAGGTTGGAGCAACAGGGCCAGGAGGTGTGGGAGCGGGAGACACTAGAGTACCCTATGTGCACAGCCTCTCCATATACCATGTGCTGGTGCGCCTGCTAGTAATCGACGACATTAGGCAACAGAAACAGCGGCTCCTCAAGTCCTGCCCAAAGACCGTCCAGAAACCCAAGCCTCCGGTCGCCTTCTCGCCGCCTCCGCTGGGAGTTGCAGATCAGTTCAAGTTGACGGACAGAAGGCGAAATGTGCAAATGTTTATGGGTAAGTGTTGCTTCGGGTGCTAATTCTGTATGGCTCTTTTGCTAGTTTCTCCTTCACCCTCCCCATGCGGGTGCCCCAGGAGGAAATAAACGGGCTGCCTTGTTTCCTTGGGTTGCAATCCACGGAGAACGGGCTGATTGTCTTCTGCAGCTCCTGGCTTCGGGCTGAGCGATGGGGACGTCTCTCACCCGCTGTTGCCAGGGAATTTTAGGTTACCTAATGAAGGGCTCACTGTCTGGCAGCAACCGAGAATAATAACGGTAAATCTGGCTACTCCGGTTTCCTAGCCCTAGGAAGGCTCTCAGACTAGAGTGCATCAGAGTCACCTGGAGGGCTAGTTAATGGTTCCTGGGTCCTACCCCAGAGTAGTTACATTTCTAACAAGTCCCCAGGTGATGGTGATGATGCTGGTCCGGAAATCACACCCTGAGAACCACTACCCTGGACGACCGGAGTGCCTGTAGTAGGGGGGTGTGTGTGTGTCTTCAGAGATACTCGCCTGCACACCCAATCTCACAACTTCACTCTTCATAGCCACCTTAATGAATAGAACTTATGGTGTCTGCAAAAGACCAGCTTTAAAGTGGCGCCCCCGTACCATCCCATTTCTCTCCTCCACCCTTTCCCCACCCCTATCCCCTTGGCATGATAGCCAGGAGCTCCCCAGGAAGCTAGGATCCTGGTGGCGGCGGCAGGAACTGGGTGGCCGACGCGCGGAGAGGGCGGTCGGCTCCGGAACCCCTGCGAAGGGAGCGGACAGGGTCCGCACGGCGGGAGGGCGCCGGACCCGAGGCATCCGGACGCGCCTGCCCGGCTGCTACCGCCGCCCCCTGCCGGCCACACCGCCCGCGCGCCCACAGTCACAGAGGTTGCCAGGACTCGAGGTTTCCGGCGGCGCGCGGCGCAGGACGCTTCCAACCCCGGCCCATATTTGGTGAAAGTCTTTCAAGACTCCGTCATCCAGCTTTGGGGGGCGGTGGCGACGGCGGCGGCGGTCCTGCGACCGGGCCGGGCAGCCTTGCGACTGTCGCGTTCCTGAAAAGTGTACCGCGGCCGCCCGCGCCCAGGCCTCCCTCCGCGCGGGACCCCGGAGCGTTGCGGGCGGCGGGGTAGACCCGCGCATTTCGATCCCAGTCCACCCCTCTGAGGACCGAAGTCCGCCCTGTGCTGCGTGGGAGGCTGGCGCGGAGGGCGCCGAAGCCCAATTGTGTCACTTTTCCCGTCCACCCCACTGTTGACTCGTCCTCCCAGCGGGGCAGCGAGTTGCCGTGCTGTGCCAGACATGGAGGGTGCGCCCGGCGCGAGGGTGTGGGGCTGTGTGTGTGTGTGGAGGGGGGTGTTCGGAGGATGGCGTTTGCGTGGACACCAAGCGCACCCGAGAGCGGGACGTGGAACCGACTCTGAGGAAAAGCCCTGAAGGGCCTGGATGCCATTATCCCCAGAAGGGACACATGGTAGAGCTGGCTCTTCGGTTTCTCCTGGCCTCCCACGACCCCTTCCCCTCTTTCTCCTCGAGAAGTTCCGCCTGTGGGGAGCCCTGGATAGGAAGTCCTGGCTCTGCCATCAGTAGCCTGTGGCCTTGGGGATGCTGCCCATCCTCTCGGGACCTTGCCTGCTTCTCAGTAAACTGGGAAAGGAGGCAGCAAGTAGTAAAGCCAGAGCAGCTCCTTTCAGGGCCAAATGTCATGTCATCCCCTCTAATAATGACAGAAATTAACACATTATATAGGGTTCACATAGGTTGGGGCACCACTTTAAAATGCCTTCTATATATTGATTCGTTTAATTCTCAGATGCCCCACTGAAGCAGGTCCTTTTGGTGACACCATTTTCTATCTAAATGAAGAAATGGAGGCATGGAAGGTAAGTGACTAGCCAAAGGTGACTCACCTAGCCCGCAGCGAAACCGGATTTGGACCCAGATCATAAGGTCTCATACTTAACCACTGTGCTATACTGCCTGCTCTCTATCTCTTACCTCAGACATTCAGGCCCATACCCCTCTCCTGGAAATTTACCTTTATTTAACTCTATCACAGCTTATCCAGATAGTCTAGGTGAAATGCATCAGATATAAAAAAATAGTTGATAAATTAACTGAAGCTATGCTAACTCCTGAGAATTGCCTAATGTACTGGCTCTTAGGAAGGAGGGAGAAAAGGAGTGTTGTATTTTAACAGAAAAGGTCTTAGTGCATATACATTTATGGAGTGATCTTTAAGCACCTTGGCAGGCTGGTGGGGAAGATACTTAGGACCTCTGGGGTTCTTTTGACACCTCATAAGCCACATTGTTCGGGCAATCCCTACTTCTGGAATAAGGCTTGGCCTGGGGGGAATTGAATTTGTCACTGAGATAAAGGTTTCGGCATCACTTACTTGATGGTTCGTCAGTCTGGGTGTTCATTGTGGACCCAGTCTGTTTTTGTTGTTGGGTTATTTTTTGAAACATGGTCTAGCTCTGTCACCCAGGCTAGAGTGCAGTGGCATGATCTAGGCTCACCATAGCCTTGACCCCCTGGGCTCTTGACCTCAGCCTCCTGAGTAGCTGGGACTACAGGCACACGCCACCACACCCAGCTAATTTTTGTAGAGATGGGGTCTCCCCATGTTGCTCAGGCTGGTTTTAAACTCTTGGGCTCAAGTGTTCCATCCATCTCGGCCTCCCCAAGTGCTGGGATTGCAGGTGTGAGCCACTGCACCAGGCTCCCCATCTGTTTTTAACCTGTTTTCTCCCCACCTATGTTATAATTACTCATATATATATGTGTGTATATGTGTGTGTCTGTGTGTGTGTGTGTGTGTGTATGTATAATAGAGATGGGGTTTCACCATGTTGGCCAGGCTGGTCTCGAATTTCTGGCCTCAAGTGATCCACCCGCCTCGGCCTCCCAAAGTGCTGGGATTACAGGCATGAGCCATAGCGCCTGGCCTAATTACCCATATATTTGAGGTCCGTTTGTTTACCCTTCTCTGAATCCCAGACTTATTCAGAGTCTGTGATGTGTCATGGCACAGTGCTAGGTACTGGTGACATGAAAAAGAGGATTTTAATATTGCACATCCCCTGGAGGACTCTAAGGCATATTGCAGAAGTGGGTACATAAATGCTGTGTGGATACTTCACTGCCTGAGAGGAGTTAGGGGGAACAACTAATCTGGGGCTGAAAGGATGAACAGGAGTTGGATAGCAGGGCAGGACATTTGAGAGGAAGGGAACAGGGCCTTGACCAGGCGTAACAACCAGTCTGATGCGCTGGACCATAGCATAGGATTCCTTCTGAAAACTGGCAAGAGATGTCAGTTGGGACCATCTGTGAATGGCCTTGCTGTCATGACACTGGAACTTTGCAGAGTGAGCCATGTGAGCTTTTTGCCTAGGTTTCCTTTTCTATAAGATAACAGGACCAGGCGCAGTGGCTCATGCCTGTAATCCCAGCACTTTGGGAGGCCGAGGTGGGCGGATCACGAGGTCAGGAGATCGAGACCATCCTGGCTAACATTGTGAAACCCCATCTCTACTAAAAATACAAAAAAAAAAAAAAAATTAGCCAGGCGTGGTGGCGGGGGCCTGTAGTCCCAGTTACTCGGGAGGCTGAGGCAGGAGAATGGCGTGAACCCAAGAGGCGGAGCTTGCAGTGAGCCCAGATCATGCCACTGCACTCCAGCCTGGGCGACAGAGTGAGACTCCATCTCAAAAAAAAAAAAAAAAAGATAACTGGATTCTCCCAGCTTAGAGGACACACACTCAAGGGCCTGCCTGCACTTGACATCTAGCTTTGCTAGATGTCAGCCAGGTAACACCATGCCATGCCTCAGGATTAGTGCTGGCTGATATTTGGCCTCAGCCTTGGGAACCATGGGGACACTGGGACCATCTATGAGGGGCTGAATGGATACTAGCTGAAAATGTAGGTTCACTGTTTGCCTATTTTCTCATTTTATTTTATTATTTATTAATTTTGAGAAGGAGTCTCATTCTGTTGCCCAGGTTGGAGTGTAGTGGCACAATCTCGGCTCACTGCAACCTCCTCCTCCCAGGTCCAAGTGATCTTCCTGCCTCAGCACCACTAGTAACTAGTAGTAGCATGCACCACCACGCCCGGCTAATTTTTGTATTTTTAGTGGAGACAGGGTTTCACCATGTTGGCCAGGCTGGTCTCGAACTCCTGTCCTCGTGATCTGCCCACCTTGGCCTCTCAAAGTGCTGGGATTGCAGGCATGAGCCACCGTACCTGGCCTATTTTCTCATTTTAAAAAGAGATACTAGAGATCTGGATTTTTATGTGAAGTCTTCAAAATTTTAAAATGTTGGCATTTAATTACAATGTTAAAATGCCAACTAGGCTAATCCTTGGAAAACTCAAGAGGACAATGTTGATGGGTGCCAGTTGTGATCTCCGGACTGAATATCTGTAAGAATCTGTCCTGCTCCACCATTCTGTAACTCCCAGCCACCTGTGAAATTGTAGGGAAAAGCACCCTGGGCTCCATTTAATTGTCAAGTTGACTAGACTTTTTTTTGTTTAAGAATCAGGGCTGCTACTTAACTCTTGGTTGTAGGAATTTATATCCTATCAACAAAATTGGAATTGGTGGCTTTTTACAAATTTTCTGCTTCATCCACTCTCCAGCCACTACTCTGTCTCCCTCCTTCCTGCCCCTGAATTGATGTTGTAAGCAGCTGGCATCGCCTTGGCAGTAGTATAGGAAACACTTTTTTAGGGCATCTGTATCCCATGGGAACTCTATCTGTTTATTTCCTTCACCTGGCATCTATCCACAGGAAGCCAGCATTCCTAACTCCCTTACCTTACAGCACTTCTTGTTTTGTGATAACACAGAAACATTTTATTGGAAAGGACTGGAAGGCACCTCTCCCACCACACCCTGCAATCTATCTTCTAGAGATGATTGAGCAATATGAAATATAATTATAAGTCATTATCAAATGGGTTGGCTCCAGATTGAGAGAATCAGCAATTAACCTCTGCTTTTCAT